TTTTGTTTTTTTTGTGGGGGGGGGGGGGGGCAAGATAACAATAACATGTAATCTGATCAAACTAGTATAATATATTACACTGAATATTCAAGCTCCAGAAATATTTGATTAATTCATGTTTTCTCTAATATAGGAAAACACTGGAATAAGTTGAGGTACCTTGTACTTCCCCAGAATATTGTCAATGTACCCAGACAGAGCAAGCACAATGTATTTGAGGGCAGCACGTGCAGAAGCCATTGATTGACGAGCTCCCTGAAAACGAACTCGTCTTCAATTCATATAATAGCATTCCATGGATCAGTGTTGGAGCAGATGCATATAAGACAAATCACATAAAGCTTGTGAAATTGTAAGCAGACATGCAACTATGCATGAACACTTGCATCATATTATCAGAATTGCCCACTAAGCAAGTACAGAATACAAGGACGGGATTCTCTGAGCTAACTATCTTAATACAATTTCTTCTATCAGCTCGTCATAAATAATATCAATAACGATGAAAATCCATGCAAATATCATAGGGAGAAAATACAAAGGGTGTAAATAAACCTGGATTGTACCCAAAAGATCTTCCAGAAGCTCTACACTAAGATCAACCTGAAACAGAATAAAGCTAGTTGTCACAACAATTCAAAGTATCTATAAAACAACAATAATCGTGAAAAAAAAAATCAATATAAATATTGCACTTAAAGAACTGCAGCTGAACCTTCGCAATCACTTGTGCTGCCCAAGGTGCAAGAATGGAAGAACACAGATCAATCAGAATACATGCAGCCTTAGCCTGCAAAAAAGTTACTGTTATAAGCAGTGCATCTCCACAAACGCAACTTCCCCTTGATTGCACTCTCAGAAGGACAAATACATGCAATTTAACAGAACCAGGTTCAAAGCTTCCAGATTACCGCCAGCCAATTTCTATACACCAAAATCGTTTGACTAAAGTTGCGTTCAAGAGAAATTTAGACATGACAGATTATTCATTTACTCCTACCACATTATTCATTGTGTTGTACAAGTCAGGCATGACACATTTCACAAGTTTCTCGAGGTATTTACTTCCCTACAGATTCCACTACAAGACAAACTTGTAATGGACACAGATAAATTGCATAAATAAGAAAATTGGGATAAAACAAGTTCACAGAACAAGGAGGAAACTCTCTCTATTACAAGCCCTTATTTTCAGCACTATTTCCGAACTTAAAGGCTTTACTTTCTACATGCTTCGATTCTTCTACCCAAGTGTCTACAAGGAGAAACTATTAAACAATAAGCACAACGATAACATATAGCATACTATTCTACAATTACCGCACACAGACACTAAATATGAGATAAGATAGAAAAAACAGTTTAGAAGACTGAAAGAACTGACATGAGATTGTGAAAAAGATGAAAGATAGCCAGCACAAGCCTGAAGAAGAGAACGGTATGATGGTGAAGATGACATCAGAACAATCTGAAATAAGAACCATTCAGGTCGTCAGAATTGAATCCGAGAAAATACAACTCCACCACATATTCATCATCTGCCAGGAAAAGAATATAATCAGTGGCAACAAATTCCGCAATGCAACCTGGGATAAGGCTTGCTGAACATAAGCTTGCCCCCACAAAGAAAAATCAGTTATGTTATCAGAAGAGCTGCTTCCGTGAGGACGAAGTGCTGACCCGAGGAAAAAGAGTGTCAGAGAGATTGATGAGAAACCCCATTAATGCATTAATGGAGAAGCATGAATGGATTACAACTAGAGAAAAAGACATACAGCATACAGAAAGTAAGTCTATTAAGCAAGCAATGTAGGAAAATTTGCAAATAGTCATATCGAACTATTACACAATCATCCTCCAGAAACCACTGACTGAGTAAGAAACCAAACATATTATGAGAAGAGTCCAGGCAACTGAAAAAAGAATAATCTACCAGGCAACAATGCTTGCACGAGAGGTAGTGCAGACCAGAGATTGGAAGGTTTTTCTGACAATCTACTGCAAAGCACAGGCTGCAGAAGTGAGAGAGATCAATATTAACATCTTAAAAGCAGATGCCACAGGAGTCAGACAAATACTGACAAAGACCTTTACTGTCAAAGATAACTAACCTGTGCAGCACAGGAAAAGAGAACATGTAAAATTCCTTCCTCCACTGCTGCTATGTCCAAGATATTGATAATGCTACTATCGAAATCAGAGACAAGCATCGTAATCTTTTCCCCAAACAAGCTTGCATAATCGGCTTTGTCATCAGGAGAACAAATTTCAGATTTTGATGCATCCTCTTCTGATGTAGATGCAACACCAGTACAGGTGGGATCCTCTTGCACAACAGATACACTAAGTTTTTGTAGGATTTTAGCCGCCTGGATAAATTAGTGCACATATAAAGTCAATTCTAGATACCAATAAACAATTCCTACTGAAACAGAAAAAAAATGCATACAAAAAATCAATCACCATTCTACAAACAATTCTCAGATCAGGATCTTTGCAAGCCTTTCGTAGAAGCATAAGAATGGCATCGGAACGAAAGACAGCTGAATTCGACGCAGATAAAGCAACAAATGAAGTGCCACGTGACCTTCTAGGCTGCCCTTACAGGAAGAGAAAAAAAAAATGAAAAAAGTCAGTAGGGAAGTACATATTTTCATCTTGTTTTCAACCGAAAGCAGAACTTTAGTTCTTAACTGAGGGCATACGAGCTTTGGATAAAATGACTGCCCATCTAATGTATGTGAGTGAAAAGCTAGTTTACATTCATAATTAATCCAAAATGATATAAACTCAGCTGCCAACTTATTCTTAATGGCAGAAAACATAACTACATGTGTAAAAGATAAATTTGTATAAACCAGTGGAGAGCAAAGCACACCAAGCCAAACAAACAGGCTGATTGTTTTAGATATCGGAGTAGGAACAAAAACTTGCTTACCATAAAAGACCTGCTACCTAGAACTTGCTTAAGGTGAAAATCTTTCTGCTTAAATATAAATCAACAAACGGCATGGAGAGAATGTAATGAATAAACCTAACTGCCCAGAAGTCATTGAAGGAAAGAAAAATGATGCGAGTACCTCGAAGTTAGAAGAAACAGTAACAACACTGGCAGCAGATCTTCCAGTTTCTCTGGACAATTAAGTATCATTAGACCCCATATTGTGGTGACTTCGATTTTGCGGATACGACAAACTAAATCGCTTAGCTGGTACTTCATTACAAGACAACTCAAAATGTTCTGTTCTAATGTGGTAACTTCAATTTTGCAGGTACAGCTGGCTAAACAATCAAGATGGGGCTTCAATACAGAGATAGAACTTGAATTGTTCTCCATCGTTATTTTCTCAGTCCAAAACAAGGAGGAAACATGTCTGTGGCATATAGATAAGGAAAAAAACAAAGAAAGAACAAAAGGAAAAAGGAAAAAGAAAATAACTAACTATTTCATACTATAAGAATCAATATAGGGTTTACTAGGTAGGATATATATTAATCATCCATATACCACGTCCACGTGTAAGTACATGCACTTAAATTGACAGAATCTAAAAGCAGACAACAAACCTCTCATTTATAACCTGGAGGATAGGGTAAAATGGACCAGTAAGCATAGCAAGAAAACGTAGATTAGAATCAACGTCATCTGGAAAGCCGCAAAGGTCTGCCTGTGAAACAACAAGCAGCATAATAAAACAGAGAGAAAAGAAAATGCATGTTCCAGCCCCAATCCACCAAGAAACAAAAAGTGGTATTACTCAAGAAAGATGTATAAGTTACCTCGAGTTGGGGGAGGAAAGTACGCAATCGCCTTGTCATGTCTTGAAGAAACTATAAAGTAGCTGGAATCAGATAATATGCAGATAAATTCACACAATAAATGCCATACACGAAAACATTATACACAAGAAACTTTAGAGATCGCACCTGAAGATGCATATCATGAGCATCTAGCTTATGTGAAATAATATGTGGCAGCAAGTGATTTACAACAGGCTGGAACTCTGGTTCAAGCCCAGGAATTGATATCCCAATAAGCTACGCAAGAGTGAGGAAATTAAGTCTAAGAAATACAAAATCGGCCTAAACGTTAACGCAATAAAAGGAAACATAACAGCTTAAGTAGAAAAGCCTTAAGAAATAACTTTGGAAAGCAAAATGGCAACAGACAAAATTCCTGAACCGAAAAAATACATTTTCCATGTTGCACCATCAAATTTAAAAATCATCATAATAATCTACTCTACAACAGATTTTTTGTCCATGGTCACTCTTTCTGATGTATTACTACAAAATCAATATCCTAATATGATCCCAAAAGAAAGCATGCCTTGAAGTATTCAACTAAAATTGTTTTCTTGCATGTTACCAGCAGCTCTATTGTTTTAAATTCTCAAAGCAAGAGTTCTAAGATCGTCATAAATATTTTCTCTTGTTCAGACCGTGGGGCATACATGCAAATTTTCTCTATTAATTTTTAGCACTTACCTGGATGAAAAAGATGGCTATTGGGTTACCGCGTAAGCAAGATATTCGAACATAGCGACAAGGAGTGTAGTTCACAGGATAAACCATGTCGCGTCGGGGTGCTTCACAGCGAGGGCGGACCTTAACAAATGACTCTGGCTGCTAAAGAAAGCTAGTCAACATAATGTACAGGATGTTGTGCAAACAATTAAGAAATGAAAGTCTCCACATGAATGGAGAAATCAGAAATTAAGAAATGAAAGTCTTAGGAGTAAGGAGCATGGTATAGTTGTATACTTAAACCAGTTAGGCTTGGAGTTGTTCAAAGAACACAAAGCAAGATAAAATGATTATTCATCCAAATGTAAATGGATGTGAACCTACAGAAACCCTTTTCTGTTTGATTTAACTCAGATTCTGAGCTTTTATTAGAAGAATTGGAACAAAAAAACCCAAATCATCACAACAGTTCTTACATGGCACAATCTGTTGCAATTCCAACAACTACAATTATGCATCTACCTTATATTGTAATCCAACAGTTATTTCCCATTCAAGCACAGACTTATTGTATATGCGTATGTGTGATAACAGACAAGGTTCCTGCAAAAAGAAGAAAAAAATGAAGATTACATTTCGCACGTGGTAGGATGAAATGAAAATATAATCATAAAAAACACAATAATTACAAGGGAGTCATATCAGTCACACTACTGTGTCTTCGGAGCAAATTAGGCGAACAGCAGAAACCATGTTTGCTTAAAAGTTTGATAAGGTACACCATGAAATCTAGCGTAGTCATTAAGATGTTTTCGTATCCAGTTAATTTACAGTTTTCTCCAAGAAATAACAAAATATCCTTGTCCAAATTACAATAACAACAGAAACTAAGAAAATAATCAAACGGATAGATAAAAAGAAATATAAAGTACTTCTTGCTCTAACTTATGACACATATCCATACAAGAACAAACTTCAAGAAATGCGTATTTTCCATTTGTTTTTTTTTTTAATTAAGAGAACTGTATACCAAAATTGTAAAATGTTTAATGGTGAAAGCGGAAAATGAAACGAAGTTCCGAAAAAGGCACAAGGCTTCACACCATTCCCAAGAGGTGAGAGCTCATACTAACACTGTATGTACAATATTCGATCTCACAGAGTGAAACATTAACACGGCAATTACTTTGATACGTTTTTCAGCCTATTTTTCTTAAATCTTTCATCAATGTCACACACTAAGTTCTCTGTGGCCAACCAAACCATGGCATGCCTCCGCTCTATTCCAAAGTCAATCCACACTACAACGAAGCCCAAAACTTTCTCAAACAAAAGATGAACAACTCCTAAAACTATCTTGACAAAAGTTTCTAAGTGTACGTCTACATCACTCCAGTGTTTTTTTTCCTAGAAATCTTCGTTCCACGCTACGACCCAATGTACAAATTCTCAACGAACGCGAAGCAAGAAACCCCACCGACAAGAAAAGAAGCAAAATCAACGAAACACTCGTCGACGGAAAAATCCCACGAACGCGTACGTACACACAGAGCGAGCGAGAGAGAGAGAAAGAGAAGATCTTGAACAGTACCTCGAGCTCGAGCAAGATCCACTCCTTGGTGTTGGTTCCGGTGGACCAATGCGAACGAAGATCAGTCTCAAGAACCTGACCCGCCTTCTGCGACGGCGACTCCCGCGACATCGCCTTGACCTTGTACGGCAACGGCTTCACCCTCGGCTCCAAATCCATCTCCATCTCCTACCAATCCTCCCTTCCCCCCTCTTCCAGATCCCGAAACCGAAATCGGAGAGTGTAATTAGGGTTTTAGAGATTCTTGCTCGCAAGGGATTTGAATTGAGATCAGCTTGGAGATGAGTTTATCCTTCGCACTTCTCTCAGGTTGATTCTGGTCAAAACCCTCTCTGTTCGAAATGCCACACGCGAACTCAAACACTAGTTAAATATTCGTATATGCTTTTTTTTCCTGAAAAAAAAAATTGTATTTTTTCAATAAATAAAAAACTAAATGTTAATTTCGAAGTCTTAAAAATATAAAATATATTTGAAATCGTTTTTCAATTAGCTATAAAATACATTATTTCTTTAGGAAGTTTCTATGTATCATCAAATATAGTTTTATTTTATGCCGTATTTTTTTTTTCTTTTTTTTGGTCCAACTCTTCCGCAAATATAGACAGAACTTGCAAAATCTTCTTGACAAAAAATAAAAAATAAAAATAAATTTTCAAGATAATCTCATCCTAAATTTCACTCTAAGGTTTTTATATATATTTGAATTAAAGACCAGTTTTAACTTATTTATCTAAACTCTATCCCATATAATCATTCTATTGATATTAACAAAATAAAATTGCTGATGTGATGGTATTAACATATTGCGATTGAAATAACGTCGGGTATTCTCTAGTATAAGATACAATAATACCCATGCATACAAAAAAAAAATACAATATTCACTAAATTTCATTGTTTTAAACAGGACCGACTAAAAAAATTTAATCAGCTTTGTAATCTCCAATGGTTTATATAACACTTTACAATAATGTTTTTTTTAATATATTCTTTCCCT